TCTCTTGCGTCAGTTGTAAATTAATTAACGCACCGCGTCATATACACGGTGCGCGTAATTTCGATCTTAATTCGCCCTCTATTTGGACGGAATGTACGTAAAATTTGAAAGCGATGTTCGAATTTTTTATTCAACGTAGAATTATTGATGGATTGCGAGAGGAACAGGCGTGTTAGGCGAATTATCCAGATCATCATATGTTTGTGTATTACGTATAATTGATAGAGTTTACGTCGTTTTACGCGATACGACTCCTCCGCTCTGCAACATGTAATTCGCGTTCAACGTCACCGGTGGCCAATATCACCAGACGACACACAATGACCGCTGATTGAACAATGTATGTGTGCGTATACGGCAGGTGCGAGCGTATACATGTCAAGCATGCGTGCGCGATTATTTCTCGTAATGCATTCGCGCGGTCAAATTGTTGTTATCGAAAATTAATTTCCCTCACCACCGCGGCATCCTCTCCTTTGAGCGAGAGAGCGCGCGGCAATGATTTCGCGAATGTTGAAAGGCAAATTTACAGGATTGATTCTTGATTATCGCACCGGATTCATCCGTTTCGAAACGAATAATAAATTGATTTCTATCCGGATGCAAATTATATCGTTATAAGAGATGTTTTCAAAGCTAACGTGTATTTTTCAATTTTGACGTTTATTGCATTTGATACGCAATAAACGCAGCGTGTAATGAAAAGTTAATAGTTTGATTTAAATCATTTGAGAATTATTGAAAGGCTATTGTATCCACTCGGATCATTCACAGTTGACGAAAACGAGAGAGAGAATCGCGTCTGTATGTTTTATCGCGGCAACATGCTATCCATCGATCGCAATCTTCTTTCACTCTTGTACGAACCTTTCCGAGGGATGATTGTAAATCGTGTAAATTCGTGTCTAAAATAGCGAAGCCGCGCGGAATGGAAACGCCATTAAACAGGTTGAATTTGAAGAGCCTGGTGTGCATTTTTGTGACGCTGCCGCTACAACGTGACTCGACGGTAGCCCGTCTGAATCGTTGAAATTGCATTTGCGCCGCTCCGATTCAGCGAGAAGGGACAACGTGCGTTGCACTCCGCTGTATGCAGCAGCGTACGTACGTACATACGTGCAATCCGGTACGGAACATGACAGAGTCCTGGCTGGTATAATCTGGCGTCGACGCAAAGCGCGAAACAATACCGCCACACACCGGACTTACGGGACACGTGGACTATCATGACTGACATGACGTGACGTGACGTGACGAAGTGCGCGACGTGCACCGTCATCCGTCTGCGGGATAGCTTCGAGCGCGTTTTCACCGAGATTTATAATCGAAACACGGGATAATCGGATATTCCCTCTTCCATTCATTCTCCTATTTGTTTCTTCGTATTATTGCGCGCGCGGATATTTAGTTTGACGAGTGAATCAAGCACCGATCTCTTCCATTGACGCGTAATTATTTATCTCGAAAATTTTATCTCGTCGTTTAAATGCGCCACTCGTCGAATTTATTTCGTCTACAGAAATTTGCGTCCAATTCTATCTTTATATTCTATTTTATATACTTTATATGTACTTTTTTTTAACGAGGCAATTTTTTTTCAGAATACAATAAATTTCTTTGCCTCGCCCGCGTTCTATCTAAATCCCGTCCTGCCGCGCTTCTCTTTTTCACCGTCGAGATTTCGCTGAGCTCGGCACTTTGTTGGTTCACCTCGCACTTCCACAAGATACTGCTTAATGCGTCGACAGGATAATTCAGGAGCTTACACATCTGCGGCAGTATAACAAGTTCCCAGAACGAAAGTTTCGCGCGATAAAGTTAAGGGGAAATTACTTAGCCGCATTAAATCGTTTTAGCCCGCGGGATGATGGATATTCGGGCCGGATGTGCACTCTTTTCTATCTCGTAAACCGTACGATGCATAACAAGACTGTTGGGGATTTGTTGGATAGGCTACACGCATCGTGTGCATGAAGCAGTATCACGCGGAGCGCAGGATAACCTGTTGCAGATTGATAAAGTCGAGGAAAAATGCATCTCGATAGATAACAGAGAGAGAATGCTTTTTTTAAATTAAATTTCAATTCTTTATGACCGACATTTTTTTTCGTTTCTACGGTCTTTGCGATGTGAGATTAAGATCACTTTTACACAGCAAAATTATTTAGCACCTCTTTTGGTTTTACTTGCCATCTACTCCGTGCCACTTACATTATTCAATTATTCAAGGTATCTTTATAAATTTAACATATAGTCTTATAAGATATTCTCACCTACGCTGGAAGCGTCATAAGTAATAATTATAATATCGGGCTCTTCGTTAAATAGTCATAACACGTCTGAGAGTGTGCGATGTTGTAAACGCATTCCGCGTTTCCTTGCGGATAATGTATAATGCGAACGCTATAAATTGGAACGCGACACGACACGTTGACACAGGGATATAACATTGCGCTTACGCGACGAGACGTTTACTGTGCAACCCCGTAACTTTGTGATAACGGAGAATCCAAGCTTTGCCTCTGCGGTATCAAAAATGTGCCAGCGCATCATGTGTATAGCATAATCTTTCATCCTTTTCTCATATCGCTTCTTTGGTCGTAATATCATGGTCGTTCCAGATGTGCATGTTACAAAAATCTGTAAAGAAGCTTGTTCCCGCTTCTAATTTCACCAGATATTTTATCTGTGGAGATTTATGTGTGCGACGAGCAATTTTTATTTTATTATCGTGTAAGTCCAAATTTTGAAAAATGCAATGTCTTAAAGAAAACAAATAATATTTTGCAAATAAGCGAATGACATATTATTATATATATTATTATATATATATATTTAAAAAAATTATATATATATATTACATATATTATTATATATATATTAAAGAAAAAATCTCCACGAAATTTCGAGCGTGTCCCGTTATTTTCGTTCGCGCTATCGTCGTGGATTCTCATGGTCACTCATCCGCTTCGAAGTAACTCGCAGAAACGAGTTACAAGGGATCTTGCATGGAAGAACTCGTATATATTTTGTACTTTGGAGTGTAAGTCAAAATTCAGAAAAATGCAGTGTTTAAAAAAAAAGACATAATATTTTGCAAATAAGCGAATGACATATGTGCAAAGAAAAAAATCTCCATGAAATTTCGAGCATGTCCCGTGATTTTCGTTCGCGCTATCGTCGTGGATTCTCATGGTCGATCATCCGCTTCGAAGTAGCTCGCAGAAACGAGTCACGAGGGGGGTCCTCCATGGAAGAACTCGTATATTTCGTACTTTGGAGAATCGCGGAATGGAAAAGCCGCGAGGTTGAGAACGAGAACGCACCTTGAATAGGGAACCGGGCGAGGAACCAAAGATGATGCAGCAAAGAGGGAGGGGGGAGGAGGGAAATGAGGGGGTATGTAAGTTTACTACATGCTCGGCGTGTTCGCGGTGGGGCGTGTGTGCCCGGATTAGACGCTTAAGCCGGACACACATAGGGATAAGAGGTGGGTCAGAACGGTCCTGACGAAGTTTATTTATAAAGGAGGAAGTTCCGGGGCCGAGCACAACGCGCGCGCCGCAGCCACGTTAAGCTCTTTGGCCGGATAAACTTTCCAGACTCCCGGCATCGTCATCGATTGTGGCCCCACGCCAGGGACCTCCTTATCCTACATAATATTTTACGAGCATGTACCCTGTTTTGTGTTCTCGCGCGAAAGCGGAACGGGAATCAGACGCGGTAAAGTCGGGGAGATCGCGAAAGGACGAGAAAACGCACAGGACCGGAACTCGTGCCCACTTTTTCTTCCTCCGACCTGCGTTCGTGGCGTCTGAATAATTGCGCGAATACCGGAAGAAGACATCGTTCTAGGTTCGATCGAGAAATCACGGCGATTCGATATGGTTGGGGAAAAAAGGAGAATGGGACCAACACATATATGAATCTCTCGCTGAACTTGGAAATTCTGTCGGAGAATCGCTTGGTTGAAGCAGCGTGATGCGAAACATTCGTCAAAGGCAAAACGCACGAACATTGTATTCGCGAGATAAAAATGTGAACTCTATAAAAATAAGTTTTTCACTACGCCATTATTTGAAAAGTTGCTTTCGAGTGTACGCGAGTTTTATCCTTGAGAGTGAAACTTTAGAAGCACTGTAATGCAAAGCATCGTGTTTACGGAGCCGTTTCATAAAACGTGATATTCATTGTAACGATTATTTTATTCATATCCACACGTAAAATATAAATATCACGCATCAATATAAATATATAATAAATATTTTTGAAAATGCACGCGCTCGTGTTACGAATATAAATGTTAATATAATATTCGCGAGCCAAAAAGAATTAAACTAATTAAATTATAAATAATGGTAGACAGCGTACAAGATTTTTCAATTCGATTCTATCTCTCGATGACACTCGTTTCCCACGTGCAAATAATGAAGAGATGTGACCACAAAAATCAGAAAATTAGTATAATATATTCATAAAAAATAGAATATCCAAATATAATATCTTAATCCGATATCAGATCTCTTCTAATAACAGTACAATACATGTCGACGTAAACTCTACAAATTTTATTATCACAGAAAACGTCTGACTTTTCATCTAGAACTTTTCTTCTAGAAATATCCAAATCGTGAATCATACATGAAACTATCCTGATATAACCAACTGTCAGTCATGTCATTTCACGTCATTTTCACGTCAAAAAATAATCGAGAAAAATTCTTTTGATATTAACGTAAATATATATATAAATTTAGATTTTTCTTTCAAGATATTTATCGATATCGATCGATATATTTGCACACACAATTAATAAATGTAAAACGAAGGTATTATTTTTCTTTCACGTTGCGCGAGGTTCTCGAAATGTTTTGTTTACTATACTATATACTGAGGTTAAATTAAAACGATGTCTTTGTGACTTACCGTGTGGTATGCTGTGTTGATGGAAGAGGACACGTACATATACACGCATTATATGAATATTAGAATCAGTCGCTAAGGAGCAAGTGCCGAAATAACATCGCGAAAGTGACAGTGAAGAAAATAGTGAATATATCTTAAGGTAAGCATCTCGAAAGAGAAAGAGAGAATAAATGCAAATGTATATTTGCGATATCAGAATATCATTGATAATGTTTCGTCCATTATGTGATTTTTAGTTTTTATCCCTTGCAGTAGCCGTTAAATCTATATATTTACTTACTCCGTTGAAAAATATTGGCGTATATATTAAAACCCATTGCTTTTCTTAGCATTAGGTTTTACACATTTTTGAGATACAAACAATATAGTGAATGGATACTTTAAGTAGGATTTTTCCCTGGAGCATTTAATCGATAACGTCACGCGTGTCTATCTTTTATCGTGTCTGAGATAATCAATGAGAAAATAAGAGTGCGTGATAATTTTTTTTCTCTTTATCTCATCAATTTTCTTTGTCTCTACTCCTTCATTCTCCTGAAATGAAAAGTATTACACCAAGCATCGCTCGTTAATTCATCGTATTAATTATTTAAACAATATAATTTGTTTACAAATATTAGATAGATTAAATTATTTGAATAAGAAAAATAAATTTCGACAAATTTAATTTTTTATTATTGATTAATCGACAAACTTGTTACTTTTAATAAAAGCTAGATTTTGATTTTTCAATATTATTCTCGGATATAAGTACAAATAAATAGAAACTATAATATTTAATTCGAAAATATTATGCTCCAGAATATATTTCTGTTTCACGAGTTTCCATCAGGTTTTTTCTCATAAGAGCGCGTGTGGACCAAGCAAGTTGAAGTGTATAATAGCAAGAGCACCACCTTCTAAGTGTATTAATTAATCTTCCACTAATCCTGCTAAGTATACATCGCTTTGAAACTTCCTGACAATCCGGGGCCGGGTTTATGTTTACTGAAAGATTACGCACAGTAGGATGGTAATTGCCTTAATACCGTTTTACATGGCAAAGCCAGCCTCAGACTGCGACTAGCACGATATGGCAGTAGAATAAGGCAATAAATTAGACACGACAAGGTTTGTCTAGAACGTGAATAGTGCGCGTTACACAGCGACATAACTATATATATATATATATATATATATACACACATGTATTCCTAAGTAATAAATTATAACAGGCTATGTATAATGGTATCTTATCGATGTATGTGTATATATATATATATATATATATATATATATATCTGTTCCAGATAAATCGCAATTTATTGGATAATTGAGGTGAAAAAAAAAGAAATATCTATCATGATAAAAATATATTTTAAAAATTTCTTTAATTATTCATATTAAAATATATTTTTATATCGCAGCATAAATCAGTAGCTTTTATATAAATACACTATGTTAAAAGTTTACAATAATTTAAAAATAAATAAAATTTAATCTGCGATATACAACATTTTTATTCATTTTATTTGTATAGCGATACAAATAATGATACGTCAAATTTTTTTGAAATATGATTAAAGCTCGTATTTCAATAGACTTTTGGTTTATTATTTTCTTACGGTTGTGTTTATTTTTGCAAAAATGGAAAGCCACATCGAATGATCCACTAAACATAAACGTCATTGTAAACTCCGTTTAAGATACATTCGTAATCGGAATTTAGAGAGGAAGCCGTTTCGTGCAGCGTTTATGTCACTGCAGGCTGCGCAACCGGTTGGATGCAAATGCGGATGTTAATTCGTGCTATTCGGCACGGAAGAACACTAGCTCATATTGGCACGACCGTTGCTCCAAACGTTGCCATCGAACAATTTACACACGAGTTTCTTAGCGGGATCTATAATATTATTACATATTGATCTATAATATAATTACATATTAAAAATACGAATATTGAAAAGCCATACTATTTTACAATTAACTTATTTTTTTACTGAAGCTAAAAGATATATATTGAGAAAATAACTCTGAAAATTTCCACTATTCCGATTTTCCATTTGAAAATCAAATTAATCAGTTCAATTATCAAACAGGTCAATAGTTGATAGATAGTAGTTGAGAGTATCTAGTAGTTGAGAGGGAACAAGTATTTCTGGACAATGTAATAAATGCACAATTCATGCGGAATATTCGGAATCTTCGGTTGGCGTGAAATGGAAACGTCAGTCAGTTGTCAAAGGTGAAATCCTTCATGCCCTTACTATAATATTATAATATCGAATTGATTGAATTTGTGTGATACGATCACTTGCATAAAGCATATTCTCTGTTTCAAAAATAAATCGGCTTATTGACATATGAAAATTTGAGATGTTTAGTAAATAAAAAAATCGAAGCTTCGATAAATAATTGCCTTTTTCACAGAATACGTTTTCATCAAACATCAAAGCATCTATAGTTCCAATTTATTTTACACGATTCGATTTTTCTGCTCTGCGAATGATTGTGATAAACAATATAAATCAATGCTATTCGAGTCACAGTCCATATATAGAGAGACAAAAAATTGCAATAAACACTGATCTTGTTTTTATGACTATTTGACAACTTTGAAACAAACATTGCAACTCTATTTTCTCTCAATAATAAAAAGCGTCGTTAAAAATTTTGAAAATGTTACCAAAGCGATTTAACAATCGTGGAATTCATAAGATAAAATTTATAGAAACTATTTAATTATTTTAGATATTATTTTAGGTATTTTAGATATTATTTTAGGTATTCTAGATATTTTAATACGGACGTGAAACGCCTTTATTAAGCACAGTTTGAAAAAAACGAGCCGCGGAGCAACACGCATAGAATAAAATTTTCTTCGAAACGTTAACTTTGTATCCTCCTGAAAATTCATTATATGATTTTTCTGCGATGCTTGGACTACCTGGATCGTCGGAAACTGCTCTCCAGAGATGTACATTGCGATTCAAATCAGATAGGTGAACAAGATTCGGGACTATCCGTCGGCCAAGTAATATCGGGCGATCGTCCAACGTACCGAAAGTTCCGTTCGCGGCGAGAAAGAATATCCATTGCAATCAAAAAAAAGGGAAACGCCATTCTCGTACGCATGCATACTGGTACGAAGCGTTCGTCACCGTCGTCGTCATTGTCGTTGTCGTTATTGTTTCGATATTCATTGGCGCCGTATTGTCGAGTAACGATAAATTAGAAACGTCCGCAAACGATCGCGGTGATCGCACAAAGCGTTGAATATATCGGAAAAGGGATACACGCGAAACGTGACGGGAAAATAAGAAAGTATCTACGGCCGTTTCCCAGTGATACTCGGTGATTTACAACTTTAACAGTCCGCCGGAAGTTCTGCAGCGTCCGACAAGATTCATCGGATTGGGTGAACGGCGTAGATTATTATTGGATTTTTTAGATAAAGAAATTCAAATTTATGGGCTAGTAAACCTGAAAATTATAACTGATTCATGTTTTATATATAAAACAATTCCATTACTCTGTCGAATATGAAAAATTAGAATTTAATGTTATATCGGATTAGCATTTTCCGTTTGATCGAATTTCATTATTTATGCTTCCATGCCTTTTTAACAAGCACAGCACAGCATTTTGTGTACTCAAAAAGGACTTAAAATCCCTGCATACATTCGAAGCAGTTAATGAATTTTTAATTGTTTCTCCCTTTAATTAAGACAGTATTGAGAATTAGTTTCGTGTTGTACGTTATTTTAATTCACACAGAGTTTTATTTTGTATTTATATGAATAAGCTTTTTAAAATCAAGATGGAAAATTTAAATTAAATTCGTATGTCTCGGTATCTTTGAGATCTTATCCAAGTTCAGAGAAAAAACAACTCCCGGAAAATGCGAATAAATTGAAACACGAAATGATAATTTCATTACTAGGACGACTCAATACATCAAATATGCGGCGGATTCTATTGGAGTATCATATCACTCTACTGATATCGATGATATCTCCAACGGCGAATAATACAGCGGATAGTGCAGCTAGAGTAGATAGGAGAAATCAATTTATTTCGTTCGGCAAGAGAGAGAGAGGGAAAGAGAGGATGGAAGAAAACATTCTTCGGAGCATCGCGCTTCTGGAGGAATACGACTTACTATTATATGTCTATGTGTTGGCGCTTGCAATACAGCGACATTGTACACAATGCGACGTCGTATTTAATTTCGTCGTCGTCGTCTTTGGCATCCATCGCCGCTGAAATTGCGACGCGCTGTTTGCCGTGGGCCCAGCGCCGACAGTTGTTGATTTATCGCGACCGAACAACCGAACCGTTAACGCCTGCCTCGACACGAAGCATCTCCCCCATCGTCCTCGTCATTCTACCTACGTCTCCCGTCTCGCTTTCTTCTCTTTCCCTCTTTCTCTCTCTCTCTCTATCCTCGCGGCGTCGACGTCGAATTCGCTCCGAAGTGGATTTATCGTTGTTACCGTGGCATCGGACGCTTTTTGCCCGAAGGTCTCCGAAGGGGTTCCTGAATGAGGTTACCGACGCCTCCGACAATACCGGAACCGGAACTCGGGTTACGCGCGCATCTATGCGTATATCTCGTACATGTGCAACCAACCCTTAAGATGATTTTACCTACGGGACACTCGAGATGACTTTGAAAACGATATCAAATTTATCTCGTAGATCGATTTACAAATTGTAGAATGCAATTGTAGTGAGTATGCATCGAGATAAAGTTTTTTTTTCTCGTATAAACTTTTCTTTCTCCTCCTTTATTTTGTTTTTATTTACATTTTTTAATTTATATTTCACGTATCTACATTTTTAAATTTATTTTTTACTTATTCGTCACATTTTAATCCACTGTTGGCGAGTCCATCCAAGAAATTGTAAACTGCTAAAAATACGCTCCAATAATTTCTACGTCTTCAACTTTTCACCTTTTTAATCTTCTATTTATACGTAACAGCCCTTTTGATCGAGGAGTATAATAGGCAGTTTAATCAGTATATTAAACAGGGGTTCCGCATATAGGAGATATAATCTGTTCAGTGTAAGGGACCATAATGCCGCGCGGTCTATCTTGTCGCTCGAAATAGCCGCTGAGAAAATCTGTTCGGAGACCATTGTCGAGTTAACATG